CTTTTGTGTGTCGTGGCGCAACATTTAGACATACGACACACACACACGCAACACGACACACGACACACACGCAGCACGACACACGGTGGATAGTGGGCAGAGAGGTACTGGAGACGATCTGGCAGCACCGCCAAATGCATTCGAGCTTATCGTGAGGCGAGAAGTAGTTGTTTATCTTCTTCAGCTCTGCACATAGACACACAACACACACTGTTCAGCACGCGCACGCAGAGACACAGCACACGACACAGCACACGACACACACGACACACATACGACACACGATACACGATACACGATGACCGACCTTTGCGTGCGAGGTGAAAGGGCAGTTGGTGGAAGGTGGGTGAGAGGCCGAAGACGGGGTGGTCGAGACTGAGGTCCTGGAGCGACCCGATGTGCTTCTCAAACACCAGGTCCCGCTCCTCGTCGAACGGCGCATTGGGCGAGAACGCACTGCGCGTCGTTTCACACAAACCCAAACGTTTTGTTTTCAGAATTATTAGAACAATAACAAAATAATAAAGAATTAGAACAAAACAGTGGGGCTACCTGGAGAAGGCGAGGCGCATGAGGTAGCGCTCGGAGTCGATGCAGGCAAAGTCCACCTCCTGCACCGACGCGTTGTGCCAGAGCGAGTGGTTGTGGATGACCTCTCGCAACCGCTGAGAAGGCGCACGACACGACACACGCACACACGACGCACGACACACACGACACGCACGACATTCATCAGTCGGCTATGTGGCGCAGTCAAGGTGGGCGCAAGGGCGTGCGGGCGTACGCCGAGGAAACTGGCGATGAGCTCGCGCTTCTGGTTGACGCTCTCGAAGGACTTGAACTGGTCCACGAACCGCTCCACCTGCCGCGTGTACGTGTCGCGGAACTTGCGCAATCGGGCCGAGTTCAGGTATTCAATGTACAAATCCTCCTCCCTGAAAAGTCGTGAAAAATCATGAGTGCGTGTGCGTGTGCGTGTGCGGTCGTGCGTGCGCGTGCGCGTGAAGCTTCGTTGAAGGGGAGAGGGTGAAGACCTCTCGAGCTGGCCGATGATGTGCTTGAGGTTGGTGGCGCTGATGAGAAGCCGTCGCTTCTCCTTGGGCAGCTCCGTGCGATAGCCCTCCCGCACTCGGTGGTCCTGTGGCCATTGCGCCAATGGCATCATCAGCCCACCACTCCCAAAAAACAAAAAATTCAAAGAATGCACACGCGTGTGCGATCGTGTGTGTGCGGTGCGTGCGTCGCGCACGTACAGCTTCGATGGCCTGCAAGACTGGCGTGAAGTCGCTTTGCTTGAGGGCCGCCGGGAGGGAGGTGAGGCAGCGGATGGTCTCCTCCAACAGCATCTCCACCACCGGGTAGTCCATCTGCTCGATCATCTGTGAAAGTGCGAAGACGACAACCAATCGTTCCCCCCCCCATGCGTCAGAGAACGAAAAACGAAGCCGAAGAATGCCAAGTATTCCCTCCCGTACCTCATACTCGGCCGAGAGAATGTCGATGATGGGGCGGTCGCGATAGCCGCTCATGCCGCGCATGTGGCACATGGCCCGAAGCAGCTTGCGGCTGGCCTGGCGTAGCTGTCGCCTCTCCTCCTTGGCCCGCTTCTCGTCTTCGGTGAGCGGCTTCTCCTTGGCCTTCGCCTTCCGCTCGCTCCGTCGCTTGCTTCCTCCCTTCTGCTCAACACCGCACACACCGCAATGATTGGAATCTGAGGAATGCACGAGCGCGAGCGGGCCGGTGTGGTACCCGCTTGGTCCGGGGGCTGGAGCCGCTGCCGAGGCCTCCGTCTTCGTCGTCGGACGAGTCCTCGCCCTCGTCTTCGAAGAAGCCGAACTGCTTGGGGTCCTGGAGCAGGCGCATCGTGCGGGCGAAATCGCGCGCGGCGGCGTTGTTGATGGTGAGGATGAAGTAGTTGTCGTCCTTCTTGGTGAGCTTCTCGGGCACGGGTCCGAGCTCGTTGAGCAGCGCCTTCATCTTGCCCTCCGAGTCCAACGCCTCCAGCTGTCGGCAGAGGTCCTACAGTCAGAATGGTGTGCCTCGCACACGTGTTGACACGACACGACACGCAACACGATACAAAACGATGTACTTTATCGCCGGGGAGCTCTTTGATGAGCGTGTGAAGGTCGATCAGTTCGTTGTGCGAAATGACCACCACACGCTGGCAGCCGTAGTACAGGCCCTCCGCCCACTGGAAGAAAAAAGTGTTCCAGGCTCAGTGTTGGCGAAACGCAGCGACCCACTGCGCACGCACACACGCACACACGCACGCACGCACACACACACACACACACACGCACGCACGCACGCACACACACACACACGCACGCACACACGCACGCACACACTCACACACGCACACACACTCACACACGCACCATGAGCGAGTGTTCAGGCTCGGCGACCGCCACCACGGCCTCGAAGTAAGCGCCCATATCGACGGCCTATCGCAACACAGCCGCGAGATCAGATTGTGGTGTGAGCATCATCCAATCACGAGCAAAAGGAAACAAAACAAAACAAAAAAAAGAAGCAGACAAAAACCTGGAAGAGCCTCTGAATGGGCGACTCGCCGTCGGTGATGGCGCTACCGAACGACGTGCCCCGGGCCAGACTCAACACCGCCTTGGCCACCTGCACGCGGCCGTCGTGTCAGGAGGAAATAGTCGATCGCAGCATGACAACGTGATGATGATGATGGCGACGACGACGATGAAACAAAAGAGTGAATGTGAGAATTGGCGGGGCCGTGCCTGGGCGAGGTTGTGCCGGCCACGCTTGTCGATGGCAGACTCGGAGCAGATGCCCCACGGCTCCGGCGACGAAATGGGTGGATTGAAGTACCGCAGGAACAGAAAATCACTCTGGTGGG